CAGCACCCCAAGGGGAAAGGAATTCTGCCAGAGGACATCATTATGTCTGGGAAACTAAAGATGCTGCGTAGTAAGGTCATGAATAAATTGTTTGAATCTAGAGTGGAGGAGAAGACCAGTAAAAGTACAAAGTTACCTACATCTGTTAATACACTTATGAAGAGCACATTCATTTCTACTGGAACACCATTAGGGAAATTAGTTTGTCCTGACAGTTTGTGTTGCTGGATACCATATGTTTACCTTGAGGGAATGTTTGTGGAGAAGTACTTTGGGTTAATTGTAAATGTCACAATTAAATAAGTAAATACACAGAACTGTATCTGTGATCTGCATCAGTGCACAGACACTGTACCAGCACACTGATGTGCCACGTAATGTGTGTACATATAAATACACACTTTTATGTACCAAATCCATACTGATCAGCTTATCTGGGCACACAGACATCAGGTACAAACAGCACCTGCATGTTGCCTTTCTGATCTGTTTGTCATTAGATACATGTGGCACTGCACCATGCCCTTCTCTTTGTTTCATGGGAGCTCTGAGAACTGAGCACTGAGCTTCCCTGGTGCTGGTGACAAGTTCTGCACCTCTAATTCATCTGGCACAAAAAAGATGAGGTGGGAGAGAGGGAGGAAATCAGATAGCGTGTTAAAATTCTCAGATCAGTTGGAGTCACATTACAGATTACCAACGGTTCAAATGTGTTGCCTTTCAGTGTTGTCAGTCCTCCCTAATAATCTGCACAGGAACTGAGGATTTTCAGCACCTTGACAGATTAAACCTTGAGAACACTCAAACAAACCTGTCACATAGGTCTTTATCATGCAAACTTGAGGCCAAGTTCAATAACAGCCCTGTTAGTCTTCTGCATTGCAGAGGCCTTGAAAAATTGATTTCCTATTTTGCCACTGACTTCAGTGGAACGAGGCTTTAGCCCTCTGAGGGAAATTTATTCCTGTAGATTGTAGCTACTTCTGAAATCCTTAATTTCATGTCTTTAAAGAGTCAAACTTTGTGACAGACCAGGTTTGGGTGCAGACTTTGTTGGGTGTTGTTGACCATTGGTGGCATATTAACTCCCCTTATGGTCCAAGAAACCCTTTTTTCATTTGAAGATGCATTTCAGGGATTGAAAGGCCTGATCCAAACTGTAGAGGAGCAAATACAAACTTTGGTATTAAACACTGGAAAAAGATTTTAAAGGGAGTTAATCTCTGGTTACAGCAGTAATGTATTTTTATCAGAAACAGGAAATCCAGTCTGTTAGGGCAACATTAATCCAGGGAAAACATTTTCTGAAGTGTCCAGAGCTTGTTAACACAGCTAACACCTAAGGCAGCAGCATGTCTTTAAGCTCTACTAATATTGTACAATAATAATTTTTGTGGAAGAAAATCTTCCCCTCTCCCTGAACAGAAACAAGACGTATTATTGACTGCCATCCGGAAAGATGTATGCTCTGGCCCTCCTGAGTCTATTAATATTTGATGCTGATGGATGTGAGCTGGCAGCCTGGGTTATTAATGGAGTTTGGTTCCTTGGACCTAACCCTCAATACGTAGGGGAGAATTAACAACAACAAGAACTGTATGCCCAAGCCTCTCGTGGTGCTAGAAAGGTCTGTCATTTAGTTTCAGCAACAATTAGTGTTTCTCATGTACTTAAAGGCATGGAAGGACATATAGATGGTGTTATAACATTACTGCCACCCTTCATTTTGATTTAAAGCTGACTTTTTAGAGATCCTCCACCTGTCTCTTTGATATGTTGGAATGACCCCATCAGATTTGGGGTTCAAATGACGAAAAGCACCCTCTGGATAGCTTCTGAGTAGCTGTGTGGAGATGTGGGACACCCTGTCCCTGGTTTCCCTGAGGTGCCATCCTGCAGACTGGGGCCAGGGAAGGTGTGATGTAAAGCAGGGGCAGGAACGTGATGCCTCACCCACGAAGTGGGGCATTTACTGGAGCTGGCCCTGATCCCACACCTCATAAATGGAGTTTTTCCACTGATTATGTTAGAGTCAGATCTGACCCCCGAAATTAGGGAATAATACACTGGATAGTTTTCAGGGGTGTATTTTGATAAACTGAGCCTCCTAAGAGAAAACAATGTAGATAATGAAGCAGTTCTGAAAGTTTGTGATGTCCATCATTCTGACTTGGAAAACAGAGGTCTAAAATACCAAGTTATTTATAGCTAGATTTCTTAATATGGCTTTAACATTTTCAGGGGTATATGTTTGATTGAATTAGCTACTCCTTCCTATCAGGTATACCACATCCAGACATTTCACTACTCTCATTAACCTCCTGATCTTCATAGAAAAAAGAATAATCAACATAAGGAGCACAGCTGTTGATTAATTTTACTGAATAGGATAGAAATATAAAGTACCATATTGCAAGAGTCAAGATTTAATCCACAACATTTGAAATCAGTTTAATAGGATATATAACTCATTAACAACTGGATAGACGTACACTGCAGCATTATTCACTTGGGCAGGTGGTGAGAGGGAGGTGGAATTTACATATCTTTAACAGTACCTGAATGCATTTAATTTCATAGGTCATTCTCCCAAATCAAGTTCAAAATGTTAATAACGGGATGTGCATTTATAATTAATAAAATCTTAGAGCCAGTGCTATAGTTCAAGTGCATTTTCCTCTTATGTAATTAAGAAGTTAAGTGTATTTGGCAGTTGTCACTCACAAAGCTCTGAAGGGCTTGGTTGTCAAACCTGGGGATAGAAATCTCATTAAGCCAGTTATTTTTCCAGTTAAGGTTTGTTTGCAAAGTAAGAGCGTATAAAGTGGACGGCCAGAATGACCCACCTCTGTTAGTCCATAAAGTAAAGTACATTAAAGTAAATGCCAAAACTCAAAGGTGTGTTGAATAAAGATGAAGCAGCCTGCTGTTTAGCTTGTGTACAGAACCTTTTCTTTGGGATATCCAAAGCATCTGTGTCGGTCTGCCCTCCATGCAGAGCGAGGCTACAGAGAACTGGTGGCTCCACACCAGCCTATGGGGCACGTGGCCAGGGAGGACTTGCTGCTTAGCACGAGCTGATCTGCAGGCACAGAGGGTCAGCTGAGGAGCTGGAGATCCACCTTCCACTCCCACCCGTGGCCCAGATGCTGTCTTATTAGTCTGATTCCCAAGGGGATATTTTAGCTTTGTGTCATTCTGTTCTACTTTCCTTTTCAAAGGAATTTTCTTTTACTTCTAGACCAACTAGTTCAAATCCAGATATAAGGTCAGTTGTCATAGAAATTATTGGCAGTACCAGCAGTTCTGTGTTGCACATGAAATGAGTTGGGAGTTTCATTCACACAAGATACGGCTTTCTAAGTGGCACTAATTGGCTGTCTAATTGTCACACACAGGAGAAAGGCAGAAGGATTGATTAGGCACGGAGACTGAATGCCCCTTTGCCATCCCGCCCTGCTCTGGGTTCCTGGAGCTCCTTCTGTAGGCATGCTGGCAGGGTAATGAGGGGCAGCGTGCTCTGGATTTTCTGGCTGTCAGGACAGCACCTTTCACTGCCAGGCCTTTTCAGGGGAGCTTGGTTTACTCAGCAAGGTCAAAGATAGCATCTTTTACAAACGCCGCTCGCTTTCAAAAATCAGAGACTTGTAGGATTTACTTCTAAGCAGAATGTCTTTTAACCATTTCTTTTACTGCCCCCTAACCAAAGTTTTTAGTATAAAATAGGATGAGTCATGCTGGTGCTAGGCAGAACTGCTACAGCAAGCATATGGTGGTTTATGGTGCTCAGAAATCTGTTCATATTTCCTTTTACTGTCTCGGTGTCTGATGGTGTGATATACTGGCTCCTGGAGGTACTTGCCATGGCATAGGGAAGCTGACATTTTGTGCATCTATCTCCTGATAAATGGATCCTCCCATCAAACAGTGAAGCCTCTCACCTGCAAAAATACATTTTGACCAATATCTTTTCCCCTGAGCTATGGTATAGGTCACACTGGGCAATGCAGTTACTGTTTAACTTTGGAGCAGGGTAGCTTTCTCTGACACAGAAATAAATTATTAACATTTGACTCACTGAAGAAATAAATTTAGGACCTAATTTGTGATGTGAAAGTCAGGAGTACACAGAGAAAAAAAAGGAGTAAAAAGATCTTGTCTATGCTAACCTATGTAGACCAAACCATGGGACTCAGTAAGCTTAAGGGAACTGTGCTCACATTTTAATTCCCTTGTATTGGATAAACAATATTAGTAGGAACTATGTCTCTCCTTTCAGCCACACGAGCTAATCAGCGCACACAGTAATTTACTGTTGAAATATTCTATAGTTGTGTAACACAGAAGTATTTGCTCTCCTTTCCCTCTCCTTCCCCACACCTAAAGCAGAAGCAGGGCAGAGAGCGTCTGCATCTGCGTTCTGCTCCGTGTGCCTCCTGCCTCTGACACATGCATCACTCCTCCTTCAGTGCTCTTCCTAAAGTCACAATCTTGTGGAGCTTAATTGAAAACAAACTCAGGTACCAGCTCTGCATCAAAAAGGTCTAATGCACCTGCCATGTAGTTCTCTCTCTGCCAGCCTGTGGAAGATGAGCACGTACGAGACCCTTCAGCTTTTTAACAACCCTATTCTTAGAATATATTTTCCAAGAACTGCAGAGCAATCTTCGCGTGGTTTCAGACTGTATATTTTGTGATTAGTGTTCTGTAAGTGATGTTTTGCTTAATGATCTAACATCTGTTCTAGAAGGTTTGTTTTTGTAACTTCCCCACCTCCCGCTGAAGGAACGCCAGAGACTTGTCCCTTCCCTCCAAGTCAATCAAAGCACTAATTGCACCATAAACACGGGACACAGCGGTGCCTGCTCAAGTGCTAAAGACTCAGCAATCAACTCATAACACTCTTCCCTGTTTCCAAAGAGAAAGCCTCCCTGTGCAGAGGTGGGAATTTCCTGCAGTTCTGGTTGCTTTAGCTGACTCTGGCTTTTTCTGGCTTGCAGGGAGACGACTGCACCGTTACCTGCCCGGCAGGAACCTACGGAACCAATTGCTCATCGGTTTGTAACTGCAAAAATGATGCTGCCTGTTCCCCTGTGGATGGCCTGTGCTACTGCAAGGAAGGTAAACAACGTTCAGATTTAACAATTGCCTGCAATCTGGCACCAGTGCTTCTCCCCTTCTACAGTGGCACAGCTGTGCAGGCAGTAACTCCACTATTTTCTTGTGCCTGTCAGTAATTCAGCTGTCTGCCCGAGTATCAGAACTCAACAGGGGCTTGACTGGATGTTTTGTCTCAGCCTGGAACGGGGGCCAGACTTAACTGCTCTGCTGCAAGAACAGGTCACAGAACTAAGTGTGCTGGAAGATTGTGCTCCTCTCCAGAGGAAGTGCAAAGCAATACCCAGACTGTTGGGGATTTTTTCTTTATCACTTTGTTGCCCCATTTCTCCAGGACTCAAAGCCCCTGTTCTCCCCTCCATACCTAGAGTGACACAACTGGGCAAGGGATTGGAGACAGCCTCCTGCCTGTTTCTTCTTTAGCCCACTGTGCTAGGCACAGCCCAGCCATGGTTATCCTCAACCATAGAATCAGAGAATCATAGAATTGTTTTGATTGGAAGAGACCTTTCAGATCATCAAGCCCAACCATTCCCCCAGCACTGCCAGGTCCCCACCAAGCCATGTCCCTCAGCACCACATCTCCATGGCTTGGAAACCCCTCCAGGGATGGGGACTCCACCACTGCCCTGGGCAGCCTGGGCTGGGACTTGACAACCCTCAAGGAAAAGAAATTTTTCCTCAGGTCCAACCTAAACATCCCCTGGTGTAACTTGAGCCCGTTTCTGCTTGTTCTATTGCTTATTCCTTGAGAGAATAGACCAACCCTCACCTGGCTGTCCTGTCAGGAGCTGTGGAGAGCCAGAAGGCCTCCCCTGAGCCTGCTTTGCTCCAGGCTAAACAAGCCCAGGTCCCTAAGCTGCTCCTTGTAAGACCTGACCCTGACCTGCAGACTGCCTGCCTGTCTCAGCCTTGGACTGGTCTTATTCCCATGGCCTTTCCTAGATGATCCCAGCTGCAAACCCTACACTTGGGGACTGTGGGGTGGGCCCTGGCTGGCTGTCCTTGCTGCAATCCTCAGCTCCTGGGGAAACAAGAAGTCTTGCCTGCTTCAGAGTCTCTCTGCAAGACAAACCTCTTTTCTTCCCTCACATATGTCCATAATTCCCTTTTGTGCTTGGTAGTGAGCATAACCAGGTATCTAGAAGTCACTGGAGAGATCTGGTACTGCTCCATCACAGGGTGTCTCTCATGTTCCCCATGTAGTGGTGCCTTACCCCAAATACCAGTGTGAGCTAGGCCTGGATGCCATACGTAAGCCCTAAACCAGAAGTGAGGCAAATAATGATAAAATTTGGCATTTCAAACATGAATTAATAGATCACTGTAGCACCTCATTTAATGAGGGTGTATAAACCATGAGTTACTGCTCAGCTCCATTACATACAGCTCCAGTGCAATGAAAGCCAATGTGTGTAAGATTTGAGCCTTAATGGTTAGAAATTTTGGCTATGGTTTTTTTTTTTTTTTTTTTTTTGGCATAATAGCTCCTTCATATTAAAGAGCATTCTCAGAAAAAAAAATATGAGGTAAGAGGCAGCATTGAATGGCCAGTTTTTTGCATGCTTGCTGATCAGCAGGTCTCCAGTCTGCCAGACAGCACTGCACTGGCTCTTGCTGCCCAAGCAGTTCCCAGGCATCAGACACCTTAATCTGGTAAACAGGTAACACAGTGATACCTGTATCACCCTTCTGTACCTGTAGATGCTGGTAGATGAAGATCAGAGGTCATAATTAGAAGGTCAGTCTCTGACCCCAAGATAGTCTTAATTTACAGCAAGATCAGAGGGAAACTGGTCCTAGAATCAAAGAGCTGCAGTTTGCAAGCTGCCTTTCTTACTGTCTCATCCCAAACACTGTTTCTCTCCTATGTTTCCTTAGGGTGGCAAGGAATGGATTGCTCCATTCCATGTTCAAGTGGAAGTTGGGGTCTTAACTGTAACCAGACGTGTTCTTGCACAAATGGAGCAGCCTGCAGGCCAGCTGATGGCTTCTGCCTCTGCTCACCAGGGTGGCAAGGGGAGTACTGTGACCAGCCCTGTCCTGTAAGTACAACTGGGATGGCTTTGCACCCCCTTTAAAACCAGGGACCACATAGCTCTTCTAAGTGTGTAGTAGGTCAGTGTCTCATTTTGGCTATAGACATCTGAAGGAAATCATGTATAAATAACAGACTGGGGTTCCAGCAGTCAAATGGATGTATTATACTTTGCATTTTCTTTTATCAGAGCTATTGCCACGTTATCTGCATTTCCTTGAACATCATTTTTTAAAGTGATTCCTCATTTGGTTCTGTGTGGAAATGTTAGGCACTGAGTTGTTTCTATCTTCCCTGTATGTTAATTTAAAAAATGCGACTCAGCATTAAGAGGGACATGATAGATGATTTTGCACATTTTAGAACCAAAAACTGATTACTGAGAGTCTTTTTTATTTATCTTTTGGGAAGGATGGAACATATGGTCTTAATTGCAGTGAACGTTGTGACTGCAGCCACGCAGATGGGTGTGATCCTGTCACTGGTTACTGCTGCTGTCTTGCAGGCTGGACAGGTAAAATTAGCAAATACTTCTGTAAACTGTGGAGTTCTCGTTGTTTTGGCTTTGGAGGGGGTGGTTGGTGGGTTGTTTTGCTTTGCTGTTGCATCAGGTATAGCACTGGACTTGTGACTGCAAACTTTTAAATAATAGATTGAGACAAGATCAGCTGAGCTTACCCCTGTTTAAATCACTCATGATGGTGACAATAATTGGCATTCATTAAATTTGTATTCAGATTAGTTGAAGATGGCTCCAAACCTGGAGCCAGATGTTAGCCTTCTGTAAAAAGAATCCTCTGGAGGGATGCAGATCATCTGGAAATCCTGCAGAGTTTTTCTCCTTGAATAGCCCTTTCCAGAGGGGTGAGTTGTGGTGCGGCGAATCCTGGGACCATCCAGCCTGGGGATGCAGATGGGCATTGGCTGAATGCTCAGAGGCATGACAGCTGCTCCATCATACAAAACCTGCACTTTGTCACAAAATGTTGGCTTTATGCTCTTCCCATTTTCCCATGCTTCTTGAAACACAGAAGGGGAATTAGAGAGAGCAGATTATTGCTGGTTTGACCAAGAGTTCTCTTGATTACACAGAGGCAGGGAGGAGTATTCAGTGAAGTCAGAGAGTCCAGGCTGGAGATCTCAGTACAATCAGACCTGCACTTGACTCTGTACTGATAGGTCTCTTTGCTGGCTTTTGACAGCTAACATAACAGCAGCAGGGGGCAAGTTATTGACCCAACCAGTATTTCACACTTAGCTGCCTAAAATACTGGTTAATATCTCTCAGCTGACTGCAGAGACCCTGGAGGGAAATAAACTTACATTCTTGCCCATAACTGCAGAACCACCAGTGGCACTGACAATCAAAATGCATTTATATTAACAGCAATTCATCTGGAAAATCTAATTGTTTTTCAAACAAGTACAAGTTGGAAGAATGTGTAGAGCAAGGCAGGCTGGTCAGGGAGCCAACATTTGGGATGCTGTCACCTTACCCCTTCATTTATGCCTTAAACCAATGCGTGCCTTCTATTTCTGATAGACAGAACATCACCACAGCAGCTCAGCCCCTAGAAGCATGAAGTAAAAGCAATGACATTATACCTAGAACCTACAATGGAAAAAATCTTTTCAGGATTTAATAAAATGCAAAAATAGGAAGTTCTACACACTGTTTACAACAAGGCTACTTTTCAAAGCTACTGGGTGTGCATCCCTGAAAAGAGCATTTTTCCCACAAGCAAATCTATTTTATAAGCTCACTAATATCCCTCCTCCAGCCTGCATTCTTCCCTGACTGGACTGCATTCATCTTTCCTTGAGCCTCTTTACCATCAATATACCCATCTATCAGGCTTTAAAACTCTGCTGTGCATTATTGATGATCATCAGAGAAACACTTGGTAGGCGTTCCTGTAGTCACCATGAGTTTCTTCAAGGCAGAAAGTAGGTTTTAAAAGAACAGTAAATTAAAGAGATGTATTTATACACACTTACTCTAAAAGTTTATAACATGTCTTTCTGGATGTAGCATTCCAGAGGAAGCTGCAGAAAATGTACTTTGCAGACAATGCAGACTAAAGGTGTGGCTTTTCTCAAAGGCATTTGCAACAAATACTTTGTACTTACTCCTGTGCACATCTCTAAATGTAGATCAAGTGCAGACACAAATTACTCCAAGGAAAGGTAAGAATAATTTCTGTGGTACCCTCCTTTTTTCACTTTCCATATTGGGCAAGATAAATGTCTATTATCTTGCAGGGGACTTGCTGCAAGCTAAGCAGTTTATCCTTCAGTGTGTCCCTGCAGTTCTGGAACTCCCTTCTTCAGGATCACACTTCAGGAAGGAAAATATTACCTGAGTGTTTGAGACCAGGCTGGAGTTGAGTTGTTGACAGGGCCGTGTAAGGTGTGCACTGGAAATGTTGATAGACAGAGACAACATGTGTTTTGTCAGTTCTGCTTCCAATGTTTTTTTCCACTTGGCTTAGAACCAGACACAAGGATAAATTCTACTCATGCTAGTTTGAAAGCATGTAATTTAAGAAACTCTTCAGCTAGATAATTATATTTTCATATTAAGGAGTATGGCATTGGTGACAGATTAGTCTTATCTGTAGTTGTTGTGAACTGGGCCAGGTTGTGTGTTGCAGTGCATTTTATAAATACGACGTGATAAATAATTCAGGCTTAATTTTTTTGCTTTCTGAATTTGGTACTAATTAGGCATGGCCTGAAAAAGATGGGAAAAGTTCAGGATCATGGAACATCTGAAGGTTTTCCTGCCCACTCACACCAGACAGAGAATTCACGTGGCTTTCTGATACTAATAGCCACAAAACTTAATGTGAAACAGCATATGCTGTATGTTCATCCCACACACGGGACTCCCTCTTGATGTCAATGTTTTATGTAAAGATCAAGGGGAAGATTGAACCCATTTTCTTTAAAGTGGTTTTCAAGATGTTACTGATACAAACCTTCAGAGACTGATAGATGGTAGGAGCATGGAGGAAGACTGGGAAAAGAAGAAAAAAGGCATGTGAAGAATAGCATACAATGTAAGTGAATAGCAGTCTACCACCCTTTTATTATGTTATGACTGCCACCCATCAAGACTGTTACTCAGGACAATGACCTTCCCTGTGTACCAGCTAGGGGAAGGTAATTTTCAGGTGCTGAGTGTGCCTGGCAGAGGGGAAGGTGATGAAGAGATTCCCACATATCAACCAGGAGATCACAAAGCTGTGCAAACCAGCTGCATGCATAAATAAATGTACTAGCAACAAGCTGCTTGGAGACGTGCATCTGCAGTCTCCATGAGGGGAACTGCAGGTGTGCAGCCAAAGGCAGAAGGTAGATCAGCTCTAAAGGGGATTGCACCCTGTTGTTAGTGCTGAAAATTCCCCCAGCAGGTACACAGGAACCTTGTATCACAAATGGCTTTGGAGGTACCATGGCAAGCATAACATTTGCACCTAAAATACCAAAACCAGGTTAGCAAAAGCCTCTCATTTGATACAAGCAAAGCAAAGCTTGTTGCAATGTGGGCCAAAATCAGATCTGTGACATGCTGAAGCAATGCAGAACTGAGTTTTCCCCCACATAAAGAAAACATCAGATGCAATAACAAGGGCTCAGCCTTGCACTGAGTGGAGTTCTCCAGCTTGCACCAGTACTGCATACACATAACCTCACATGTACAAATAGTACCCTGGAAAGCAGAGGACATGCTCATTTTTATTGCTATGAAAGGACAAGTGTTCCCCTCATCAAGATGAAGTCTAGTCTGATTGTTTTCTAAAGATTAATAAGGGTCTCCCTTCTCCACATCTGCCATGAATTTGAGATACACACCACTTCTGTGCTTGTGGGATGTGTGCACACAGAGACCTTAAAGCTCCCAACATATATTCATTTGTGGAAGAGGTGTTATTTTGTGTATGTTCAGGTTAAAATGAAAATGCTTGGAAATGGAGTGCTTTGGTGCTAATTGCAATTGGTTAATTAGGGATCTTGCACACACTGAATCCACAGAGGGAATGGATGTGCAGAAAAGCTGTGTGATGCAGCATCTCCTGGAAGTCCTTTGCAAGCAAACAGGTCCTGGAGAAGCAGGCATCAGTCTCATCACACCCAGATACAACCTCCTCTCCTGGCTGCTCAGTGACAGGGTCATAAATTTCAGTTAGGCTCCTCTTACTTAATAAGGAACCTGAAACTGGACAGAAAAGGGCTGGCTGCTATGGTATCCCTGCTGGGTGGGTCAGAAGCTAGGGAGAACCTGGAGAGGCATCACTCCTCTGTTAGTTGTAATGCTGTGTGGCTCTAGAAATTACAGCTCCAACCAAGCCACATGGGTTCTGCAAGCTGAGCTGCAAACCCCATCAGCTTGGTCCTCACTCCTCAAGGTGGCTGCTGGCACCATGTTTTGTACCAGAAACACCTTCCTCATAGAGACCAGCTGGTTATTACCACACAGCCTTCAGCTGGCTCCCTCAGTGCAACCCTCAGTCATTCAGTTGGCCATAGCTGCTCCCTGGAGGTGCTCCCTGTGTGCCTGAGCTGAGCCAGGTCAGCAGGACTCTTTGGGAAGCCAACTGCAGCCATTGCTCAGCCTGCCTTCCAGAGCTGAGCCCAGCCTCTCCAGGCACACATCCCACTCCCACACGGGTCACAGAAGGGAATGTCACAGCCCTGGCTGCTACTCACAGCAAGCTCCTTTCCTCCCCAAACGAGGCAATATGCTTTAATTGTGGCAGGGTGTATTTTGGTAATCTCAGGTGTTACAGTGGGATTAACCAGGAAGCGACCTGCAGGGGGATATATTCCATTCTTCTTAACATTAAGGTCAGTTAAAATCCTGTTTATCTGAATTCTTTTAACCTGAAATGCTGTCTTATCCAAATCTTGGTTCTGTCTTGTTTTTTGGTACTGCACTCTGGTTTTTATGGAATGCTGCAGTCATGATGCTATCTCAACTCTCCACTGAATTTCTTTATTCAGGAGCTTTTTCTCAACAGCCAAAGCTGAAGTTTATTAATTAGATTTTAACATCCCCAAAATGTGTGGGGAAAACAGGGTGGTGCTGTAGATGTAAGGTGGAAAATATAGAAGTGTGCATCCCATGGTTTACTGTAAAAGGATGCCTCATAGATTTTCCTTAATTAATCAATATGGCAAATACAGGTATGAAAGTGATATATGCTGGCGAGGAAATAATATCTTTTTATTGTGTTGGTACTTTTCACCTTCAGGCTTCATTCGCGTCTTATAAGAGCAGCCTCCCCCTTTGCTGTAACATAGGGGAAATCAAAATATACGTTTCACTGTCCTTTACAACCTCAATAACTTCCATACATTGCCAGCAATATAAACCCTAATTGTCTCTTATCACGTCCAGAAATATTGTGCAGTAGTTGTGGCTGCCTGGAGTTGTGGGGATCTCCACGTGTGAGTGTGTGAGGCAGTTAATGGGGCCAGGGAACGTCGGCTGGGCACAGATAAGGTGAG